GGGGAAAAAAAAAAATCCAGCAATTTCAGGGAGCAAAACCAAACCACCAACAATTTCAGGAAAAAAACCAAACAAACCCAAAACCAAATATTTTGGAGGAAAAAAACCCAATGATTTGGAGGGGCAAAAAAAAATCTCCAACTTTTTTGGGAGAAAAAAACCGCCCCAACAAATTTTGGAGGGGAAAAAAAAAAGAAAACCCAACAATTTTAGGGCAACAAAAAAGAAAACTCAGTGATTTTGCGGCAAAAAAAATTAGAAAATCCAAGGATTTTGGGGTGCAAAATCAAAACCGCAATGATTTCAGGGCAAAAAAAAACCAACAACAATTTCGGGGAGCAAAAATCTCCACTGATTTCAGGGAGCAAAAAAAAAAAAACCCCAATGATTTGGGGAGCAAATAAAAGAAAACTCAACGGTTTTGGGGAGAAAAAACCCCAAAGATTTTGGGGAGCAAAACCAAAACCTCAACAATTTCGGGGGAAAAAAACCCAATGATTTTGTGGAGCAAAAAAAAACCAAAAAACCCAATGATTTTGTGGAGAAAAAAAAAACACAAAGATTTTGGAGGAAAAAACCCAATGATTTAGGGGAAAAAAACCCCAAACCAACGATTTGGGGGCAAAAAGAGAAAATCCAACAATTTTGGGGCGCAAAACCAAAAACCCAACGATTTTGGGGCGGAGGGGGAAACCCCACAACGATTTCAGGGAACAAAAACCTCCCCTGATTCCAGGGAGCAAAAAAAAACACCCAACAATTTGGAAGAGCAGAGAAAACCCCAATGATTTGGGGAAGCAAAAAAACCCCAACAATTTGGGGGAGAGAAAAAAAAACCACAATTTGGGGGAGAAAAAAACCAAACACAATTTGGGGGAGAAAAAAAAACCCTCAACGATTTGGGGGAGCAAAAAAAACCCCACGATTTGGGGGGAAAAAAAAAAAACCACAATTTGGGGGAGAAAAAAACCAAACACAATTTGGGGGAGAAAAAAAAACCCTCAACAATTTGGGGGAGCAAAAAAAACCCCACAATTTGGGGGAAAAAAAACAAACCACAATTTGGGGGAGCAAAAAAAAACCCCAACGATTTGGGGGAGAAAAAAAACCCCAATGATTTGAGGGAGCAAAAAAAAACCCCAAGGATCTGGGGTCGCAGGAGGCAAGGGTTTCCCCAGGGAGCCCGGGAAGCGGCTGGACCATCCCTGAGCCCTCCCGGCACGGCGCCAGGATCTCGGCGCTACGGCGGCGCGGCGCCGACGGAGCGCGACTCACAGCGTCTGCATGTTGGCCTTGGTCAGCTCGAAGGCCCACTCGAGGGTGGCGGGCTCCAGCCCGGAGACGCGTTTGCACTCGATGGCGACGTTCAAACTGCGGGAGATGCCGGGAGGGAAACGGCGTCGGCACCGGGGATACGCCGGCGGCGCCGGGAACGGCCTCGGTGACACCGCGACGGGCAACACTCACCCGTTCCGGTCGTATTTCTTAAAAACCGGGAAAGCTTCGAGGGGATCTTCGAGCTGGAAGAAACCAAAGAGCACCCCGAAAAACAAGCGGGGAGGGTTTGCTCCCACCCGCCAGGCCCTGCTCTGCGGCGGGGGAGGGGTTTTTTCACCGATTCTGTGGGTTTTTACCCCGTTTTTTCACCCCGCCAGCAAGGGGGACACTCACTTTGTTGGCAGCTTCCACCTTGGCGCAGACGGCGTCCATGGCCGCTCGCTCCTCCAAGCGCTTTTGCTTCTTCTCCTTGGCTTTGCTCGACTTCCTCTGCGGCGAGAAGCATCCAAAGAAAAGCAGATTTTCCCTAAATCTGGGTTATTTTAACAAATAACGAAGCTCCACCCACCAACAGCGGGAAAGTTTGGCCCGGAAATTAATAAGAATTAAAGCCCGCAGAGAAAAAATTAAGCACGTTGTAGGTGAAGAGCGGGGTTTGCCACAAAATCCTCGCAAAAAAGTGATTTTTGGGTAAAAAACCAGCGTTTTGAGGAGCACGCTGAA